TAACAGAAGACCTTGGAGGAACTGGCCTGGGTTACAGACAGTAGTTGCAATCGGCCTCTGTGTGTTGGCAAGTTATTCTGGTCCATCAAAGCAGTAAACTAGCACTGTTTGCAGGCTGTAAATGGGATGCAGTACGGCTGTATCTGAACACATTTTACCACATTCACAGCAGTCTCAGCATTGGTTATGGGATAAGACCAGCTGCCTGGACCCCCGCAGCACCAGGCAGCGGGTGGGGGGCTGCCACGGCCCTCCCCTCCCGCCTCCTCCCTTGCTGCTCCCCCACCTGCTCCCCAAGTCTCCCCCGACCGCGAGCGGCCCCCGAGCGTGGGCTCTGTGTCACAGGGTGGTGCGTGGCAGCGGCAGGGATCCAGGCCTGCAGGAAACGAGCCTCCCAGCGGGGGGACCGTCCTTTCCAGGGGAGGAACACGGCGCCTAACTTGGAGGTCAGACCCCTGGTAGCCAGAGGCAGGGACTTATTATAAGTACTGATTTTTTTTAAGATTTATTGAATTATAAATAATATGTGATTATAGCAGGCACTGGGGGGTGGTGAATACTGGCTTTGTACCAATGTTCAATTAAAAAAACCCATCTGTATGGATCCAATAAGAAAAAGATATATGAAATGGTGAAAAACTACAGAAGAGGGCCATGAACCTGCCTGGTTAGAGCCAGATAATCCTATTTCAGTTTAACGGGGCGGGGAATTAAAAAATAAGGAGCAGAGACAAGCTTGCAGCAATCGGGACTGAAATAAAGAGCCTGCACAAACCCTTTTTAGCAAAGAAGCTTTATTTTTCTTAATGAAGAGATGAAGTGAGTGTGTGACGTGTCTCTGCGATATACCTCATGCGAGGGAAGAAGAGGTGCCAAATTGAAAGCCAACATCGCTGAGCTGGCTGCAGCAACCTCTAACATCTGGAGGTAGCTTTAATGCAGAATGATGAAATCTCTCGTCAAGTTACATGCCAAAGATGGCTGCTGTTTTGAGGAGAGAGCCCCAGCAGCAAGCTCTATCCATTTAACACAGACTGCTGCTTTTGTTGCTAGGCTACGAGCAGCACCTACATTTATAAGCAACAAAAAAAAAATATTAGTATCTTGTAGTGTTGCCATGATTTGCCTTCTCCAGTGTTTAGTTTGTTTGTATGTTTCCAGTAGGAAGAATTATAGTGCAGACGAAGATTTTATTTTTTTTTCCTTGTGATTTAAATAGATATTTACTGGTAGAAGCTGTTTTGGGGAAGAAGAACTTGGCAAGTGGCTTTGTTAACATTTGGTGTAAGTACATTGCATCATACTTCTCCCAGTCATCAGCTGTGCTGCTTCTTTCAAACTGTGATAGCAAACATAGTCCAAATAGAGGAATACCATTGCTCATGACCCCACTGAGTCTGATACGTCTTTTGCCGTCACACAAAAATGCTTTCATTCCCTAAAAATCTATTAGTGCTTCTCATTTGAACTAATTACACTGCCATGATTGATACCCCTGGAGAATGTATTGTGTTCATTTCTTTTCCAGAGCAATTAAAATATGGGTAGTAGCTGGGTTTGCCTTTCTGCTGTTGCTTTGCCAATGTGGTGTAGTTTTACAGTAGAATAGGTCACCTTTTACTTATCAGAGGGTAGCTAATTTCCTGTCCTTTCTCCTAAGCTGACATAGCAGCTGTTGTGGTGGGCATTGCTCATGGAAAAGAAAAATCTACATTTGTTTAGGCAAAGGAGCCCCAAAAAGGGCCAATATGTTATTTGAGGAATAAAGAGGCCTAACAGGATCCATAAGTATTTCTCTTATCAAAGCAGCATGGGAAATGCCTAAAAAAATCCCAGCTCTGCAAAAACAAGCAGCTTTGGGTGCTTTGGTTTATAAACATGTCAGAGGAAGAAAAGCTGTTCTTCACCCCATTTTATAGCAGCAAGTACTTTTCTCAACCTCAATTTCTCAGCCTGTGTCTCTCTGTCCAGAACAGGGTTCTGGGCTCTCTATGTCCAGAACAGGGCATTGGCAGCTTGACAACAGGCTGTTAGGGGACTGCTTTGAAGAATGGAGATCTAGGGGCCTAAGTGTGTCAGATCTTTTTTTCTCTCTCCCAGTGAATCTGCACATGAAATGTTTCCAGCAGCACCTGGTTCTAACTTTTGAACTATTCCTATTCTTTAGGATCTTGGTAAGAAAGAGGTACTGCTGTTACCTTCTATTTTTACTGGGTTTTCCTTTTTCAAAAAAGGAACCCTTAAATGCCTCTAGGAGATTTTTGAGAATCATGATCTGACCTAAGCATCTTTACATCACCTGAAGTTAGGGATCTAAGTCCTGGTAAAGGACACCATACAAGTTACATCTTTCTTTTTACACTTTTTTCTCATTGACTAGGTTGCTCACTTGCCCTCCTGTGTGCCGGCTAGTTTGATTTCTTTTCTAAGCTAGAGTACCCAGCGTGTCCCATGCTTTCTAACGGAGGGTTGCAGTTTGGGAGTTGGGCACCAAGAAGTGAGATATCACAATGTTTATTATCACAGTTATATCTGCCCTGCTTTTGGATGGACTTCTCTTCAGATTTCTCCCTCCCCCAGCTCAGTTTTTGCTGACTTTCTGAAACTGCATGCAAGGGAGGTGAAAGGCCACTCTCATTAATAGTCCTCTTCTGCAGGGGAAGGTGCAGGAGGTTATAATCTGGATTCCAGCCCCCATAAAAGCAAAGAGTGACAGAAAATTCCGTATAGAGAGTGAAGCAGAACCCTATCTGGTACCCAATCTAAGGATGTTTGCCAAAGGATCCTCACTGAAGAGAATTCAGGTGTTTGTATCTGTGGAGGAAAGCCTACTTCTGGGGTAGTTCTCAGGCGAGTTTCTCTCATAAATATTCTCTTACAATAGTGCACTTCTGGCAACCTAAGCTATCTGCATCTCTCAAGGAATGGACATTTTGCCGTTAGGGATGCTTCTTGACTCAGAACAGTGACTGTAGCTTTAAAAATGTGTATTTAGATCAGATATAGAAAATTGGGTTCACAGTTATATCATCAAGAAATTTCTTTTTCTGTTGCTCTACTCCAAATTTTACCTTAGATACTGGAAAAACTAATGACGTACCTGGCAAAGTTTCTTAATTGTGGAATGGATTTTTTTCAAGATTTGGGTAAAAATACGAAGTGTCAGTAACATAAGAAAATGTAAATGGTTCCAAGGAAGGTAGTGAAGCTGCTTTTCATCATTCGTGCACTTCTGCATGAGTTGCCCAGAGTTTCTGAGATCATGTGCTCATCTGGATTATTCAGTCATGTAATGGGGTTTAAAATAAATGATAAAATATCTGGGTTGTTCAAAATCGAGTGGTATGTTACTGTCTGAAATAAATTAAATAGTCTTTGCTATTCTTTGCTATTCTTTTGGCTATTGCTTTGATTTGAAAAGCAATTATATGACCTTCAGTATGATGTTTAAAACGTGAACTTTGAAAAGGAACAGCGGAGAGTTGAACTCCTGACAACTCCTGAATCTGCATTTTTGTAGAATTGCTGCAACTGCTGTTGTTAACCTTTAAACAAGGTTTAAAGTCTTCTAATATTGCTGGTGCTGCAGCAATATCTAAATGTAGCCTTTGTACTAAAACTTTGTGCTGTTTTTTATGTAATAATTTTTCAAGAGAGGCCACTCTCAGTTATTCTTAAGTCCATTTTCCCCTCCAGTTAATAATAGTATTAAACATTAGATCCTGAACTGGCAGATATCAGAGGGGGCAAGAAATTTGGGTGTGCTTGGTACTGGAGCTTCCAGCTCAGTTCAGTGTCACTTTCTGATTGAAATACAAGATGAGAAGGATAGTCAAAGAATTATTGATTTAAAATGAAGATTTTTGTAGAAGGTTATTAAAAGTATGGAGTTGGGAGTTTCTCTTCAGATAAACAAAGACCTCCATTTTAGCCAGTGAGATCTACTTTTTTTTTTTTTTTTTTTCTCTCCTGATTACTACGGTTAGGAGAGCTTTGCGGAGGGAGAACGAGGAGGCAGCAGCAAGGAGATTTGGTAAGAGATGGTAGAGGCAAGGCTGGCAGTGAAATTTGCTTTAAAGCACTTGGGAAGTGCAGTTCCACTCTGTGATCTGCCATCTGTAGCACCATAGCTAATTGCCTCCAGTCTACAGAACCACCTCTTCAGTGCAACTTTTGGTGCCAAGTACGTGGCAAGCTGTGGCCATTTCTTTACCTTGACAGTAATATGTTTATGAAAAACTTTATGAACACACGATCGCAGTTATGATTCTGAAAATATGCCTTGATATATAGGAAGAGCCGCAGTGTGAGGCACGTGGATAATCAAACCTCTGCATCAGTGCTGGGGAGCTAAACAGCATCAAAAATTTTTCCCGGTCATGGGAACACAGTCCTCCGTATTGTTATCTTGCTGTAACACAGCGTGGTTTTGCTCAGAACAGCTGATGCTCACCCAGACAATCCAGCAGCACAAGGGAGGATTTAGCTGCTCTTCTCCATGGGCAGTTTGGATACAGCCACCCTAGTTTGGTTTAATAATATGAATGTGCCAGAGGGCATAGTTGGTTCTTTATTACTGGTTTAATTTACTAGTGTGAACTATTACCAGCTTCAGGGTTTGCAGGTACAAGTGATTCTATTAAATACCTAACTGATCTGTTTGAAACACCAAAAATATGTATTATTTCCTTCCTTACTGTGTATTTTCCATGATAATGTTAACTGTTTGACGGCATTATGATGTTGTCTTTTATCCTTTCCAGTACTGCTGATCCTCCCATGTGAACATGACCTCAGTGACATTTCAGGATGGATCATTCAATATCTTATGTGTTTGTAAAATTAACGTTGTTTTCCAAATCCTCTGTTAATGATGTTGTTTGAGGAAGAGAGTTGTTTAAAGATCAGATTGGGTAATTTTACTGCTAGCCTTTCCACCTTAAAATGTAAAGTTTTGTCCAATTTCACAGGTGGTCTCCCCTCTGTTGGTACTTACTGAATAGCAACAGGTGTGGGAATAATAAATTCAGATGTTTATATATAGGCAGTTAAGTGTTATGTAGTTGTGGAAGTTTGCCTTCATTAGCTGACTGTAACAAAGCAAACATTTTTATCTTTGTTCTAGAGGATTTGTGCATTTGCTTTCCAGTCCCTTTGCAAACTTTCTACTTATCTCAGAGTTCAGATGGATTTATTTTAATTTGATTTAACCCAAATGTCCTTTATTATTTTTTTCAAAGAATTCTATTATGGATATATGGATAATGCAAACTTAAATCTTGGGCAAATAATGTATATGGAGAATTATATCACTAAAGCTAGTGGAATTACACCCTTGTTAAAGCATTAAAATAATAATAATAGTTTTATTACAGTGCTTTTGTTATTGAGTATTTGAATAGATTAGGTAAACAGCAGCACCCCTTTAAAACTGTATCTGAAAATTAAGGTGACAGTTAAGTAAAATACTGTTGCAGTAACTTAAATTTTGTACCTATTTCTTTCAGTTTTACAGTCTCACTGTTTAAATACAACATAACATTTTAAAAAAGCTGTACAGTTTATGATGATGACTGCATGGCTGTGGGATAATGTATTGATGAAAACATTTTATGCACAGTCGACATTTTTACTTTGTAGTTGGACATTTTGTTTTATAAGAGGATCCCTTTGAAGTACAAAGGCATTTTATTGGCTTATGGTTTTGTTTTATGGGATGTATTTCCCTTTTCACCATTTACTAATAGGGGCTGATAAGTCATGAGTAGCATCATGCAGTCACTGTAATACAAGAGGTGTGGCTTTTATTCTAAAAATATTTTGCTGGAAAACTTGTAAGTTTTCAAAACAGAAATTCACTGGTTCTCTTAGGCACCATTTTAACAGGTCTGTGACTCAATCCCGAGACTGACAAACTCAGCAATTTTATTTACTTCACTGCAAGTTTTATGTGTCTCCAAATTATGTTATTCTAATGTCTGAACTTTTTACACTCCCTTGTATACGTGACATCTGTTCCTTCTCTGTGGATGCTGGTGGTCTGTCCCCGTCCACAGTCCTTATGATTTTTATTTTAAACTTATTTAGAACATTGTTGTTCTTATGTATATTCTTAAAGTGCAAATCAATTATGTCAGTCACATCGTTTAGAAGAAAATGGTTTGTTTACTTAAATAGCTATCACCTAAAGTTTTGATCCCTCTTTGCATGAGATCTAATCTTTTGCAGGGTGGACACCTGTCCTTTCCCCCCCCATCCTATGCAGTACTGGAGGCTATACACTA